TAGATGGTCAGTATTAAGACCAAATCGTCGTAGTTTTTATCCAAAAAATTTAAACCACTATTCAATAGTGTAACATTGTTTTACTTTCTAATGATTTTACATAAATCCCAGCCATAGTAATTATTTATGATCACTTAAGTAGATCGATTTAAAAATATATATCGACCCACGTCAGGGATTAAAGTAAAAATGATCGGTAAGCACTTATGAATAATTATTGTAATCAGGATTTTTGTTAATTATTGAATGACAATAGAAATTGTAAATAGTTTTGCCAGGCGTAGTATGTTTATTATTGTCGTATAATGTATGCTAAGAAATAAATTTATAAAATTGACATTGACATTTTAAATAGGAATATATGTTAAAATTCAACACCAAAACTACGCCTTACACTAATCATGGGCGTGATTGTTATAGTTTCATTTATTTATGTTAATTAATTTCCATTTATACAATTTTCAAAAGATCAATAAAGAACAGCGGATTTCTATACGTTGAATAATTTTCTCTAATCTGTATAATTTATTATTATATCAAATTAATCAAAGCAGAAATATCAATTAAATACTTCTTTTATTTTTAGATTTTGTCAACCGACAATGTTGACAGTGTATAAAATACTTTGCTTTTATTAGGAGACGAAATATTTATTTTATAAATAAAGTTACTACCTTTACACAAAGGATAAGATTTTCAAAACCAATACAAAATAATGCATTTAATTTAAATTATTSTATACAAGAATGCTTTTTTCTTTAATTATCATTATACAATATAATTACCAAGAATAGGTATCTACCTACCTACCTACTGGTTATTAAATTCGAATGTAAAATGTAAAATAACATTTATTGATGAATTTATTTATTTCATTTCATTTTTTTCCGAGTATTTAATTTCAATAAATATTTTTATATTTTTAATCAGTTTTGTTTTATTAATTTCGTCTTAGACAATAATTTTGAAATAAAAATGCCGAGTTGACGAAATTAAATAAATTATAATTATTTATTCGTAGGTAATAAATGTTTATTTGGATTCTAAAATGTATTCAATTTGTATTTCACAACTATATTTTTTTTCTCATATTTTTCTGCGAACACTTTTTTGAGCTGTAGAAGCACCACGAACATTTTAAACTGTGCGTTTCTTGAAAATAATCTCTAAACATGGATAGTTAGGTATCAATAGTATAATAGGCATAGTTATAGGTATAGTGAATAGAGGCATTTTCGATTTTCTCAGTACCTAACCTATATAATTTCTTGGAGGGAATCAATATCGAGATAATTCCGTACTGATGTTTTTCCGTCTATCACATTATATTATATTGTGTAATAGTGCAATTTTAGGTGTTGCACTAACATTATGTACTCAGGGATCCATATGATATTAATACCTAATTAAGCTGTTAGTATGGCCACAATAATTTAATGTAAATCTCTATAAGCTAAACTTACAAATAATTTCAGCACATGATACAGCAAATACACAGCCGAGTTAAAAACAATGTTGACGTCTCGTATAATATATAATATATTATATATATATACTCAAGTTGTGATATAATATTTACTACCTACCTACTCTATTTCCGTAAACCATAAATAACTATTCATTCGATTTCTCAATTTTAAAGAATAATATTGCCTCTGAACCTACAACACAGAAACGTCGTAGATTAAAAAAAAGYCTCCCTCGATGACATTTTTACACAATTTCGTCGTTGTTGACAACTGCAGCTCCTTTTATATACACTATAAACAATTACCGAGAAAATCTAAAGCTCACATCTTCAAAGTAGACTCGATTTATGATATAATTCTTTACCTAGCTACTGCACAGAAATACTACACGYGCGAACGATGTCTATGATTATCTCTTCTGCTGTAGTTACCCTCTATGAACAAGCGTACTTTATTAACTTGCGGCAAAAGGTATCTCGAAATAAATAACCTTCTTATACATGTCGTCACGCAAAAACTTGTGATTTCACTGTAAATCCGTAAGAGGAGAAAAATGTAATCACTACCACATAATATAATATAATATTTATATAGTATTAATACCTAGTGGTGTCATTTGAGTTTTAAAAACAAATCGTTTCGTAAATTAATTTCCACTTAAGTTTTTATCTCAACACAATTCCAATCAGCCATCTTACATAACTTTATACATTTATACGTGTAAAAAA